CCCAGAAAACAAAATCTTCAGCTGGTTTAAATATGAAACTTCCCTAGCAACCTCTGTAGTAGCTCTGGCAAATTGCTTAGCAAGCTGTAGATGTCGCACTGATGCTGGCCCTCTTTACCCGTGCTCAAGCAGGAATTGACCATGGCTCTTTGCTTCAGTAATGCTGCAGCTCATGTTTGGCAAGGTGGGTCCTGGTCTTGTGCTAGAGTGAGAAGTCTTGCAGAGGGCAGCCCTGCACAACCTATGGCCCATTCTTAGCCTGGGGTCTGTTCCAGGCAGTTGGTACGAGAGGGGGCTACAGCTGATCTGTTTGTAGATCATCGTAGAGCTGTAACCCAGAAATCTTGCCTGGAAGGCTTGGTTACGCTCCGTACACGATGCGCTAAAGATAGTAGCAATTCTTCCAGTTCAGAAATCTGCTATTTCAGGGCAACGCTAAGCAGATAATCGCTATACCTACCTTAAGCTTTATTATGTAAACAGTGATCTGTCCGACTCTGCAGATCCCCTCCCCAACTAAAAAGCCAATTCCTGATGAATGAAGGGGGCTTCGTTTGGTCAGCTGTGAAATCACCTGGCAGCATTTCAGGAGCCCTGCAGCTGCGGGATGGAATGAAGCAGCACACTGGAGGCGTGTTTCCATGGCCAAGCATTTCAAATGCTACTGGGTTAGAGACGTCGGGTTCTAGGGCAGCTCTTCTGGCATAAAGGTTTTGAGTTATATTGATATTTGTCGGTTACTATGACTTCTTTTTTTTTTTTTTTTTCCCCCTTCAATTGCATCATACCCTTAAAAAATGGTGGTAAGTGAGAGATCTGCATGCTTTGGAGTTTGTTTAATCTCCGCTTCAGTCTATACAGTGCACAAGTCATAATGTTAACACTTTCTTACAACTTCATTCACATTCACAACTAATTTGGATTTCAGTTTGCTGTTCTTAATCTATTTTATTTAACCTGATTTTGTACTTATTCTTCCTGTCGTTCTGTTGCCCCCTGATTTCGCTCAGGTTTCGATCTCTGTCTGTACTGTACTAGGGTTGCTTTCTCAGCAGTGATACGGATGACCGGGGTAGTAACTAACGCATAAATAAGTCTTCCTCGGTCACAGGTAGGAGATAGAAGGGAATGGGGCACGTGGTGGCCTTATCCATAACCATAAGTGTCCTGATAGACGTTCTGTTGGGTCTTTGTCAGGGAAGCGCTTTGCTGGCAGCCTTTATAGGTGTGAATTATTATTTTTTGAACACGCCATCTGAAATACATGTCTAAATATCCTCAGCAAGAAGATCAAATGGTTATTTCATAGTGAGAGAAGACTGGTATCCTAACACTGCAGCTTGCTATCGCTGAAAGATGTCGCTTAGGCTTGTAGAAAGCTGAGCTGAGGGTGTGAAGGCCGGCAGGCAGCGGTAGCGCTCCAGCGTGGGCTGGGGACGAAGGGCTCGCTGTCCGTGCCAGGCTCCCCGCACCGGCTTGAGATCTTTTGTGAACCAAAAGATGTTGGTGGAAGGAGCCTCTAGATTCACTCTGCTGTGCTTTGTGTCCCAGTACCTGATGTGTCTCTGTATATCTCCACTGTATATACAACAGCACATTGATGTCTGGTTGTCCTTACTGGTCCTAGTTCTCTCTGTATCTTGTCCAATAGTGTACTGTTGCTGGTAATGGACCTCTGTGGACACTAGTGTGTCGCTAGTATGTTCTTTTTGGCTGTAAAGCTCTTGGTTTGTGGTTAGTTCCTTATTTTTGTTGAAATATTTTTTCGTTCTGGTCACTGTCCGTGCTAGCAGTGGCTTTGCCTATCCGTTGCCTTGAAGGTACAGGTGGAGTAATGTCCCACTCGACAGACATTACTCCTGGCGTGTGCTCATGCGGATGCCCACACTGTTCAGACTGTAACCTCCATAACTGCTTCATGTGCACCAAGCCCCTTGTGGAATCCTGCTGAGAGTTTCTAAAGGCTTCAGTGAAAAATCCCCCCAGCAGGAGGCGACTGTGGGATGCTAAAACAGCAGGTGGTGAATTGGTGCCCCAAAACATAGTTCTACAGAGCATTACCCTGACTTTCTGGATTTACTTTGTACTGCTGTTTAAATGCACTTCTGTCTTCTGTACTGCAGACTGGGGAAAAAATAAGGTCTCTTTTAATTTGAGAAATATTTAATTGGCCACAAAAGAGCTAATGCCTAACACTGGCAGACGTTTGTTTGTCCAGTTCTTAAAAGAGAGTGTTTTCCTTTGGCCTCTGACCAGGAGGCTCGGGCAGAACAAGGCTGTCAGTTTCCTCTAGCTGAAGCCTGGGTCTGGAGGTGTCGCAGCACCGGGGTTTGTCCTGGTGGTGAGAGCTGCGCTCCTCAGGCTGCTATCCGAGGGCTGCATTTGGATCCTTAAATCGAGTTCCGAACCTTCAATCTCCTCCTAACCTGGTCTGCTCCAATTAGATGAGAAAAGTGGGAAAAGGCTGTGTCATCCATGGTGGAAGATGAGCATGTGGCATATATACCCTGTTGTGTATATGCTGATAATGAGCCGCCTGCAGAAAGATGGCTTAAAAAATGAATCCCAGAAAACAAACAGCAGGATTTTACAACTGAAATGTTGGTTTGTCTTCTCATCTATTTTTATAAGATTGAACCACTGGAACTTGGGGACAAGATGAGTCTGACCATGTTGCAACAATCTGTCCGCTACAGTTGCAGTTCTTCATAACCAGCATTCAAAGTGTTAACTAAAACCATTGAAGCGACATACCAGCCATTAAAACTCGAATCCTGAAAATAACTCCATGAATCTTTGCACTACCGAGCGGAATGGCCTTTAATGCTGTAGATAGATTGGTTTGCTGTTTGCAGTTCAGCTGGCGTGCTGTACAAACACTGACTCTCTCTTCTTTCCCTCCTTTGTCTTCCCCTGGATTGCACCTGAACTCTTGCTGCAGATGATGAACCAGCTGGGCCAATGTAAGTGTGCTTTAAGGGGAAAAGCATCACTGGGGCTATTCTGCAGGTTGTGGCATTTGCAGTGTTTTAAGAGATGTTCTGTGCGATGCTGGAGCTCTAATATGGATCAGTGTGCTCTGTATGGTATTGCTGAGTAAAAGCAACGTGATAAAATACGAAAAGCATTCTTTGAAGCCTCTGTGTTGATCTCTGGCCTGCGTTTTGTGCAAGGGATGAAAAGCTGCCAGGGAAAGAGGCACAAAAAAGCCAGCTAAATTGGGCTTGGATCGCTGGTGCTTGGGAATGGTGGCTGCTGGGTTTGTTGTCGGGTAGCGGCACAGTAAAGGGATCTGCAGTCTGCCAGGTCCTTACTCAGTAAAGCAAATATCATTGAAGGAGTTGGGGTGAAGGAAGGATGAAATGCTGTTTAACTGAATATGTACAAACTTTCCTACGTTTTGGTTAGTGTTGGTCAATCTTTATTCTTTTGTGCTTTCTTTCCCCAGGAAAACCAATTCTACAAACAATCATAAAGATAAAAACTTACGCCAGAGAAACACAAATTAAAAATGTTTATCATGTAAGTATGACTTGCACACATCTCAGAAACGCGCAGACTAAAAGTCCTCCTTTTTCTGTCCTGGCTTGGATGTGTAAACTTATTCCATGTGCTAAAGTTACCGCTGCTCAGAGGATGGCATGTGCCTTCCTGGCACGCTTCAGAGCATGGGGGGGTATCGAGGATTTTTCTCATGAGACACGTAGGCAGTTTAATGATTCCTAGCTCCCTAGCTCTACGTAATTGCTACCATCACTAATAAAAAGAACTCCCCTAAGGAAGCTAACCTTGGTCGGAAAGCCTCTATCTCCATTAAGACCGCGTTGGATGTTAAGCGCTTTGTTGACGTACTGTTGTGGCATGCGATGTTGGAAATGCTGTCAGGCATTGACTAGCACCTTTTCTCATTTCTTTTTTAGAGCTTTAAGTTTCTGAGAGACTGATGGCAATATGACCTGCTAAATTTAAGGGTTGGAACTCTTGGTTCTAGAACTCCAGTTCTGTCTGATTTTCCCTTTTTTTTTTTTTGTTTTTTTTCTTCCTTTTCAAGTGAGCAACAATATGACTGTCTAAAGCATGCCTTATTTAGCCTCTCCTGCAAGGATGACCTAGTCAGATAAACTTTAATACTGCTTCAGTGTAGAAGGTGTAAACTATTTTGGGCTTGATGTGCTGTGAATGTTGCTTTTTTTTTTTCTCCTTACTATATTTAAACATTAGAAGTAGTAAGTCGGATCACGCATGCGCCATTTTTTACTTACTGTAGCTGTTAAATTGGCAAAGCTCAAAAACGCACTGCTGCCATCTAGTGATACTTTTTGTAAAGTACGGCGAGACTTACAAATATATACAGTATATATTTATATTTGGGGGGAGGAGAAAAACCAAAATCCAGTAATCATGTTTCATTTTGAAGCTGCTGATGTTCATTCCTTACTGTATGTCTGGTAGATGAGAGGGTGATGCTGTTCTGGTGCGTAGGGAAGGAATTCTAAGTTGAAATATATCTTAAGGGCTTAACCTATAGAGACTTGGGTGTCCTGCGGTCAGACGTCAGAAGCCGGAGCAGTTCAGCAAGGTGGTGGTGAAATGCAGTTGAAACAAAAACAGAACTTCAGTTTATAAATATATATATATGATTGCTTTTTAAGTGATTTTTTTTTTTTTTTTGTTAACTCATGTAAATTCTCAAATCCTTTTGCACTGATGTGTTCAACATATTCTTGTACATTCAATTCAGGCAAACTTTTATAATTTTTTTTTGTTTAAATGAAACGTTACAGCATGGTGATATTCTATGCAACTAGTTATCTTTAGTTTGACACTGTAATTTCTCATGATTTAAAGATTGTAGAAATAGACCTAACAGGGTTCTCATGATGTGCGTAACTGTAGATGCATGAACTTGTGTTCTGTGTATTTGTTGAAGTGCAATGATGTATAAAAAAAAAAAAAGTGGATTCACCTGTTTTTAAAAATAAAACACTGACAAAAATGTGTGAGACTTCCAAATATTTAATGGCATTGGAGCTGTGTACCTCGGTGCGGGCGTTCCAGCGGTGACGTGGCACACGTGGCTCAGCCTTCCGTCAGTCTTTTCAGCTCCTTCTCCACGTCCTCCACAAACGCTGGGAAGTGTTGGTCCATCAGGCATAAGCGGATGAAGGGTCCCAGCTCTTGCGCGCTCCACGCTGAATGCCGGTACAGCAGGGGCAGCTCAGACTTCTGGTTCAGCACAGACTGCAAAGGAACGACAGCGCTGTTGCACTGATCTCGTACACACAAGGTAGCGCCACGTGGGTTTTGTAATGATGCAGCTACGTCAAGTTTTTCCTTCGGCATTTAATAAAGATGCATCTGCCTTGTTATTACACCGTTTGAATGCTTTCAGTCCTGTATGGCTCACGTATGGAACGCCTCTCTCCTATCGAACTTCAATTCCAACAGAGCTGCCTGTGCAGGAGTTACCTCAGAAATGTCAGTTTCCTGGATAACGTGATGCAGTGACTGCATTCTGTGCGAGAGAACAGGATCCTGTGCAAAGGGCGTGCACTGCTGTGAGGCACGCAGAGGGGCAGCTGGAGGCGAAGGTGAGTGGTCACCGTGTTATGGAGGGATCTGCCTTCAGGTTGACGTGCTTCAGATGCCCAGTGTGGCCTCTTTGGAAGCTCTGACACAGCAGTGGGGCTGAAGCATGCCACCTCCTTCGGGCAGCTCAGGAGTGCTGTTAGCTCCTCCAGCTCCTACTGCTTGAACATGGAACAGTGCGAGGGCAGGCAGACTGTGCATAGTGACATGTGGAGTACAGCTGTATCTGTGTGCACTGGAAAAGACCCTCCTATTCTTAGTAATGGCAGTGGTTCACACAGAAGTCTTGCTGTTATCCTGGTGTTGTTTTTAAAAATGTTTAAAAAAAAACAATGCTGGAGAGAATACCTGAGACCAGAGCTCCCTGCTACCTTCTGGGGGTGGTAGGAATGAAGAAATGCAGCTCCAGAGTGTTCCGGAGCAGCAGCAGGATGGGTTACGTCTCCAAAGCTGAACTGGGGGAAGAAGCCCTGAACAAGCTTTGTAATTTGTGGGAAATCCCAGCTCACAGCACAGCTGCAGTTAGCTGAATAAAAGAGTGTGAGGGCAAGTAGTAGATGATGTGCAAAACCGTATCAGAGCCTTGGTGGAAGGGAATTTGCCAGTAACTCAAGGGAGAGAAGGATTACAGCATGTGGCAAATGAAAGCCTCACTAGCAGAAAGCTGTGCTCAGAAGCAGGGATAATGCACCCACCTTACACAGGGACTGAAGAATGGCAATTTTTAGTTTTGCTGCTATAGATAGTAGCCCTGATAGCATCCTGATGCGTAATGAAGACTCTTAGCAGATGTTTACAGCATGAGACAGCTTTGTCTGCACCTGAGTTTCACTTACAGGATCTAAATTATATATATTTTTCTTTTTACCTGTGCCAGCTGCATTGTAGATCTTCTTTCTCCAGAGTTTGTGCAGGAATCTGGCAGAGGCTCATCTGGCTAGAAAACATCAAATGCAGAAAATTGCTTGTTACCAAGAAGGGTGTGAGCATGTGCAGGAAGGGAAGTGGTTCCATTTGGAGATATAAAAGGAAGAGTGTGCTCAGCTACCTTGAGCAGTAAAAAGGCATCTCTTCTATGGAACCTGAAAGCACATCTGTTAAATTCTTTAAAAATGAAAGACAAGGAGTAATGGGCCTGCAGTTAAACTGTCACAGCTAAACCAAGGTAGCTTAAACTACTTGCTGGAAGTAACTTCAAAGAAATAGCATGAACGCTCCCCAGGAGCATGCTCTTTAACTTCCCATGGGTTACATTGCTGAAAAGATGGTTCAGGGTGGCAGTTCAGTTTTGGAGTGAGGTTTTCAGTCACTTCTGAGTGATGCTGTTAGATCACTGCTGGTGTTCAACTCTGTTCTGCCATTAAATATTTCATTTAGCTTCTGTTATTTCACTCATTTCCTGATGAGTTAAAATCCAAAGCACAGACAAATCAGCAATATATTCAACACCTCCAATTTTCTCTATCAAATATTGTTTTCACTGTCCTGCAATACAGGACTTCTCAAAAATGGTGTAGCTGAAAACTTTGTTGTTCCCATTGCTGTTCTTGATATATTATCACACACCTGAGAGGTTTTCTGGCTAAGTTAGCTACAGCAGTGCTTTTCAGAGCTGGTGCATGAGATCCTCTGAAACCCAGGAGCGTATATTTAAGAATTAGTCATCCTCAGCAGCACTATCTGCCTCCTTCAGTCACCTTAACTCTTTGCCGTGGGGAGGGCAAACATTCTTTTCCTACCCTGAAATCACTTCTAAGTGTGTCAGGGTAGCTAAAATGGATACGATGACCATATTTACAGTTAATAAAAATGCAGAGGAGTGGGTAAACACAAAAAGGGGAACTTAAGTCATGGTTACTTAAATTTCTCATAAGCAGTACAATTCAGCTGAGAAGCTGCAAGGTGGTTCCCAACTTGAGGAGCTAGAAGCAATTTTTAAGCATTGTTCTGTTAACCTTTTTCAGGCAGGTTAAGAAAGCAGGAATATGATAGCCAGCTTCTGTCGCTGCCTCCCAGAACGGCTCTACTTACTGCACGTAGCACTGATGTACTTTGTTCAGTATCCTCCACTTGGCTGCGACTGTAACAGAGGTTCTGGCTTAGTTCATCAGCTTCGTGAACCGGCACAAACTCTGCGAGTTTCTGAACGCAGCTGCAGCAGTGTTCCAGCATCTGCTCTTCTGAATCTCCACCAAACTGAACTCGAAACATGCGGCATTCGTTCTGCTGAAAAATCAGGGAGAAATTAATTTGACTGCTCAGCCATCCACTCAACATGTTTTGATTTAATTAAGCCTCTATTAAATATAGTTAGATAGAAGCTGATTAATTCTTGGATCACTGCTCCATCTTAAAGACAAAGAAACAAGTTTTCCCTGCTGTATTTTTATTATCTCAGTAGCTGAATGAGAATATAATCCCCAGTCTGAAGTCCAGCAAAAATAAATAAGAGAAAATGGCAAGCAAACAGGGTCACCTGTCACCTAATTAAAGGTCTGTCCAAGTGAACGTGCATTGCCACTGTTTGTACTGTGACTGCAGCGAGATTGAAGTTCTTATTGTTGCTGGAAATAATATCCTGTAAGGGTGCACCAGCACTGACCAGTTACTGGTGACAGAAAATGAGATGACTAAAGCAAGCGCGTCTGGTATCTGGTATAAGCAAAGAGTTCTGGGAACAGTATTGTTTAGGTTTATGTCTCTGTCTGCCTCAGACCCAGCCTTACCCACCCAGCAAGCCCCTGCACAGCTAAATGAACAAATTCAGCGTAGCTTTCCAGCTGAGTGCTGTTCTTTGAACCAAGTTAATGCAGATAAGGAGTGAGAGACACTGAAATGCTTCAGCAGAAGTACTGCGCAAATGGAAAGTTCCTCTGTAACCTCACTCTGAAATAAGCCCTTGTAAACTCTTGTGCTGAGGAGCAGCCTTAGCCTGCTGCTGTGGCAGTGATGCTGACTGACATTAGAGTGGCTCGGTGCAGCTGTCCTTCACACAAGATGGCAGACGTACACAGATGCAGTCTTCCTGTTTAGTAAAGTGGAGAATTGCATCAAGTAGTACAAACAAAGCAGCTGAGCAAAACTGATCCCCAGTGTAAGCTGTCATGCTGAACAGTAGTATTTTTTTAAATACATGCACAGCCTGTCAGGCACAGTAACAGTCCAAATCACTTTCAGCTGATGTAAGGCTGATAGATACTGAACGCTCTTGTTTGCTGGTTGTATTTCTAGGACCTAGTTTGATCTTGAAATTGCAAATATAAAACACAGCTAAGGTAGCAGGAAAAGGGTGGGCTTTCTCTGGACTTAAGACAGCTTATGTGAGCCTTCAGCTTTCCTCAGATTTCAAGTTACATTTCATTAATGAAGGAGTCATCTGAGTCGAGAAAACGTAACTGAGAACTGACCTGTGGATAAATGCCAGGAAGGTCAGTTCTCATTAATGTGAGAAAACGGCAGCTTGCATCTTAATTTGAATTATTTTTGGAGACTTTAAAAGAAGGCCTTTGTCAGTTGCCTCTACAGCCCCCTGGTTATAAGCAGAAGACTGTGAACTTTACGGTTTTTTTTCCTTCATTTCCATGCACGCGTGCATCTGATGGGTACGGTTTCATAGTTACGTATGTATGTGAATACGTGTGTATTCCACAGAATGAGGTTCCCAGCAGTACGTCTGAGCTTCAGTGCTGATCCATGACAGGTAATTTCTTTGCATACCTTGAAGGTCCGTATGTTAAGTTTCTCAGAGTAGAGCTTAGAAGCGCAGTCGGCCAGGTGAGAGCCCTACTAGAAAAGTGTTTGGTAAGAAGCACGCGGCTTTCACTGAGAACACAGCATTAATGACTGTGAAAAGCCAATGTTAACGTTCAGTTTCTTCTGAAGTGCATAATCCCAGCAATTACCCTCTGCAGGTTTTTTTTTGGAGATGGAATACTCTGCAACTGCAAAGCTGTAACGTGCAGCAAAGAGAGCATGTACAGAAAATAATGGAAAGCACTAAAATGAATTTGCACTGAAACAGAGGAGCACAAGGTGAGACATAAATAATAATGCAATATTTAGCTGCACACGCCTCACAGTTGTTTTGTGCCCTCAAATAGAGGAGGTGGTGTTCAAAAACAGTTTGCTTTCACTGTTTCAGTGCCTTCTGCTTCCTCTTGTACATTTTTCGTCCTTATTTAGGTCTTCCAGGGCTGAGACAACCCTCTGCACAGTGTGGCAGCCCTCCTGTATTTGCGTTACTTGTTTTTTTTAACATGTTTTTGAACAATAGCACAGAACCTATGTGCGCTGACAGTATTTCTGGGTTTGTTTCAGCTCTAATTTAGGATACAAACGTGAGAAACTGCATGACAGGACCACTGCAATACCATTAAGTCCACTTTAAGTCATGAGAATTTATGGTAAGTGAACATTCAGATGCAGCACATTCATTTAAGACAGCGTTAATATTCCTTGTTTCCTGAAAGCTTTCCCTTGGAGCTTTGTTAAAGCCTCACAATCACAGTGTTGTTGGCTTTGTTTCTTGTGAGATGCAGCGGAGTCCCTTAATGCTGGCTGAGGAGGTGATTCTGTTAGCTGTGAAGGAAATTGGTCATCGTCTGATTCACCAGAGCTAATTACTCTGCGACAGCTCAACAGTCTTCTGTGATGCTCTACATTTCATAACAATAATCCGACAAAAATCAGACAGCAAAGGTGTTTTGGGTGCAGGCAAACATAACCCATGAATTTAAAACAGCTGAAGATACCTATTTTTGCATTTCCTAGTGCCACCGCTTGTCTGGGCTCATTCTGAAACAGGGAGAGTCCCTGTATTTGCACAGTGTTGTCATTCCTCACACCTGCATTTAGCTTGAAGTTAGCAAGGCATCCCTCTCTGCGAAACAATACTGTTTGGTTTGTAATTTCCTATGACAAAGAACAGCTGTGCATCTGTCAGAGAAGATACCAGGTAAAAGATCCAAAGAGAAGAGGACTTTCTACAGTTCTCACCTATCCTGGATATTGCTGTGTGCAATTACAATAACCTACTGCACGCCTCCTGCAAGAGTTCCTGTCGGGGAAAGCCGGAACAACTTAGAGCACTTGAGATGTTTTCATGCCTTAATAGTTCTGTGAGTGGTTCCTAGAGTTCATGGTGGTCTCTAGCAGCCACTGAATGAGGGGTTCTTTCCAAAACTTCCTTTCCTAACCTAAAGGTGAATTCCCTCATCAAGTAAAGAGAGTTAAATTGGAAGCAGCTGTTTAGGCTGAAACAACAAAGAGCAGAACGTATCAGGGGAGAAAGAATGAGGTATTCTCACTAGGAGACAGGTTTGGTTTCTGAAAGATCTCCTGGAAAGGCTCTACAACCAGGAAAACTGAGATTTATACACAAGTGATGACGTGACACTTGTTACCAACTTCAAGTCTGACCAACCCCTTTTCATGAAGAAGACAGAGTAATGCAGGTCCCTTCCAATCGCTTCCACACCAACTGTGAGTGACCAGACTGGCACTACTATCTGTAGCCAGAAAAAGGCTCAATCACTTGTTTGGGTATATTCATGTGCCACGGAGACGCGTGGCTGACAGGCAGCAGGATTCTGTATGTGCAAAGATTGCTTTTATCTTTTTAACTGTTAGCAGCGCAGCTTTCCCAGCATCGGCTGCTTCAGGCTTTGATGTTCAGGCTGGCAAATGGAACCCCAAAGAAATATTGGCCTAGCTGTCTTAGCAGCTAACTCTGAGGAGGCTGAAAGCCTCAAGGAGCAGCAGATACAAAAGACACTCGATTCAATCCAGGTTTGTTTCATACCTAAAGTAAAACAACAAATAAAAGCAAAGAAAAAAATACCAGCACCTTTAATTTATATACACAGTTTACGTGACCTTAAAGTTTCTGGTTTAATTTATCCAGTATTAAAAAACATCAGCCAGCCAGAACTGATAGCAATTAGAAATACTGCATTGTAACTCCCTACCTTTGACTGAGCATGGAGCAGCAGGCAGTCTGCTCGTCTTGCTATCCTCAGCCACTTCTGGGAGTCAATTAATGAGAAGCCCTCCTGAAACAAAGCACAGCACAAACTACTTGCACAGCAAACTTACAGTACTCCAAACTACACGCTCAAATGATGTGATATAATTTAAACCCTAACAAAGATGACTGTTGTCTCAGTACGGGCATTTTTGTATCTACCAAACAACTGCCAATAAGTAATTTTTACCACGCTGAATTAAATTGGAATTGGTAGCTCCAGTAACAACTGTCAGAGCACATTCTAATTTCCATATATATTTAGTATGCGCGTTATGAAAGTGACCTTGAGATGCACAATGAGCCAGCCAGAGCAGAACTTCCACCTCTCCTCCCAAAGCCTGTGAAGTTGCTGGAGAAGGCAGCAGAGGGCAGGCAATCCCGACTAATGGGACCTCGTGCATTTCACCGAGGGCCAGGCAGGCATTTCTCCAGTTGGAATCCAGGTAAACAAGCAGCAGCCTGGATAACTTGGTATTTATATACCCCAGTTCTGACCACCTCTTGAAATGTGACGGACTGCTCAGCAGCACAAGGAACTTATTTCCCCCCTTTTGGGCTGCTGAGTGTGTTTCATACTCAGAGGAATATCCGTACCTTCTCAGAACACGCGGGTCCGTTCAGAGCTGCGCACTCTGGTTAAGCAGCCGGGCTGAGTCCTGGGCAACCGAACCACCCAGGAAATAATGTGAGTTGGAGCAGGACTGCTTCCTACCCACAGCCAGGGCTGCTGGAGAAGCAGTTCTGGCACCACCTTTCACTAGGCCATTTTCTTCAACTCATGGCCCCTCCTGCTTACTCCATCCATTTCAGCCGCTTACCGCTCGAGCTGCACACGATCTGTTTGTTTACACGTGGCTGTTCTCACAGTAAGCCTATTTTTATAGCATTCTTCCTTTCTCTGTAAGACGTAGGTAGAACAAATCTCCTTAAAATAATCACCATTTTCACAGAGATCATAAAAGGCAGCTAATGTTTAACTTTCCTACCAGTTACACTGATGTTTCCCAGGTTGTCTTTTGTTTATATACCTGTTTCTGAGGTAAAGCAAGCCGGAGAAATAAATAGCAGTTAGCATTATTTTTGTGCACCTAATTATTCAACTCCAAATCCCAAATTTAATTAACCGAAATTGAATTTTCTTCAAGTTTAATTAACTAAATGAAGAACAAAACAGAAAGAGCTTCCTTTCCTCTTGTACATCTGGATGACTGTATATTGCAAAGCAGAACAAAACCTAAAAATAGTGAAAGCAAATAGGAAAATTTGGTGCGTGACTTGAGCAGTACAGCAGAGCTGGTTTGGTGCAAAAGGAGAGGGGATGTTTTGGAGAAACTCAGTTTCATAGAACTACTCAGATTGGACTCCACCATTAAATCCCTCACGTCGTTAACTGGATCAGCTTTAAATCTGCTCTCGCCATGTGCACAGAGAAACAAATAGTACCAGCAGCTCCGTGATGCCATCCCCGTGCTGCTGTGCACACACAGATCCAAGCAGCTGTGGTCACGTTTCCCTCAGGCAGGCCACACCAATACCTGCTTTGCATTCAGAGCAGAGTACAACCGAGCAGCACTGGGCGCGAGCAAAGACAGATGGCAGTAGGAGATTAACTGGGAACCGACAGAAAGGCGACGTAAAATTGGGCAGGAACAAAAGACCTCAGTTTGCAGTCTGAAGATACAAGTGGCAGTAATTTCCTAAGTTTGATGATTAGTTTTCAATCGTGCACATCCTCCTTAATGCCATTCTCCAGGGTCACGCTTGTACGAACACTGCATTCAAGGGAAACAATTTCATACATCTGTGACAAAAGTCCTTCTGAGGGAGGACCCTGAGAAAAAATAAATGACAGCAGAAAACAAAGCAAGACGCTTCCCACGTATTTTAGGAACAGGACAAGACGTGACCACATCACCCAAGAGGCAGAGAAGCCAATAATGCTATTCCAGATTGACACCCACGTAGTCCTGTCATTAATTGGGAACGACTTTTGTTCTGGTTTTACATTCCAGCATTCAAAAAGTGGCTGGATAATGAGGCCATTGTTCTGTGGTGCAAGGTATTGCTTATTGTTACAAATCTTCCATTATTCTGTCATCTAGAAAGTGCTAAGCAACATATGAACGCAGCTAACACAGAAAACTGCTTATTCTTTATTTTTTGCATTAATGACTATGACATAAATCTTGAATTCCATCCTAAGGCCAGTAGGTGTGAAAATTAATCTCTGAAAGTAATTCAATTCAAACCCTCATTATTATGTTAAGACGAACACATGCAGAAGGAGAATCACAGAATCTGAAGATGCCTTCCTTCCTTCCTTCTGTATCTGTCTCAGCAATCTAAATACTGCCACAGCATCTCTGGGGAGCTCCATGCATAGCACAAGCCATGTGCTTCGCAGGCTGTGTGTAACACAGGTCTTAGTTGGTGTAAGCATCAGCTGGCTCAGCCACATCTTCAGAATATAGAACAGGAATTGGAAAGGAGAAAAGGCCAAAAAGTCACGGCAGACAGACTGCAAGCTAAGGAGGAATAAAAGGATGTTAAGCTCTGTTATCTCTCTGCATGCAATTTCTTCATCCCCAGTCCCTTAGAAGCCTGATTTTAAATGCTGGTGTTAAGCTCTGATTCTGGAGAGCTGATCAGAGGGTTTTCTTTACAGAGCAGGAAAGCCAAAGCAAATACCAACTGCAGGACACACCTGAGACAGCCGTGCACGGGGCACTCGGTGACAGCTGTCCTTTGCCAAGGCGCTGGGTGCAGGAGCTCCCACTGCCAGGCATTCGCTTTCTACAGAGCTCCCACAGACACACACCTACTGTAGCCTCCCGAAGGAGCAAACAACAAAACTTAAACCTCTGATTCAGGACAAGTCTGGATATGTTTTTAAGTTAGAACTTGAAAAAACATGTATTTTTTAAGCTACAATTTTAAACAATGACAGCTGACCCAGAGAGATGAACAGTTTGCTCACGAGATGAGCTGGCTGAAGCTCCTGAAGGCATCCCATCAGTAAGTCAAATCAAGAAATTTCTTCTTTAAGCCCTGATACAAAATACAAACTTTGTTAAATCAGTACTTTATCTTAAACTCTAATTATTTCATCACTATGTATCGCTGCTGCAGTTCAGTTTAGTAGAATGAGGGGCAAAAGAATAGTACAGATCAGAACCCCTTACAACTAATTATTGCTGCTAGTCATCACTGTACAACAGGAATGTGTCAATACAGCAGATATAAATGGGGAAACTAATGTGCAGAGACATTCAGCTTATCCAAACTGAACATGTCAACAGGACACATTGAAACAAACTAAAATTTAAGTCTGGGACTCAGTTTCAGGCGCTCCAAAGAGAAAACATCCAAAGAACATCAGAATGGCTGCTGAACACTTGCCTAATTCATGCCTAATTCATGAGGTTAGAATCTACTGCACCCTAGGAACTGCTCAGTTACTGGAAGTCAGGAGCAGACCAGGAGGGCTCTAAGGATGCTTGACTTACAGTTCCAAAGATCAGGCCGCAAATCAATTACTCTGATTCATTTTATCCTATTAAATAAGCCCTCGTCACAGTTTCAATTTGTTTAACTTGTAGGGTACTAAGGATTCTAGCACTGGAATTAATTGCATCCAATAAAACACTGAAGTAAAATGTTCATGATGTGTGATTTGAAGGAAGGACAGGAAATAAAGTATACAACTGTGCAGCGTACAGCGAACACGATGTGTCCTCAGAGCACGGCCAGAAACTGCTGGAGAGGCTGTGAAGGTATTCCTGTTAAAATTCCATTACCTACAGGGTGCAGGAATGAGATTTTCCTACCCTAAGATACGCCATCTGTTAGGCAACACTGCAAAAACAGGTCCTGTAAGCATGTTGTGCAATTTAATTCCAAATGAAACACTGAAAATCACGAACAAGACCCCCTTTGATATACATTAGACGTGATGGATTTGTATCTTCCAGGCTGTGAAGTTCCATTTACCCTCCTCTTCATCCCATCTGGTTGCTCACAGGTAGTCATTTCTGGATGTGTCATTACAGAATGTTTAAAACGGCCTTGAAAGCATTCCCATTCCTTGGGAGTTTACTCATACAAGTAAATAATTTGGTTTCTTTGGGCACCTGCTGGAAACGCTGGACTTGCACACAATCCCTTCTTCCAGCAGCACGGACTTGCTTTCATCAGCAGTTCTGGAGCGTTTTCAGGTACTGAAATCATGTCAAAACAACAGCACCTCACCACGCAGCAGTGCTCAGCACGAGGTGTGCACTCCTCTGCCTGCTCTGAAAGTGCTCAGCCTCAGTGCCCACACTGCAGGGCTCTCTCTGGCAAGAACACAGTATTTCAGATTTCAGTAGTGAAAAGGCTGACAGAAAAGAACTCACTGAATACCTCACTATGTTGTGACTCATTAAAATAATTCTGTAGGGCTATTGTATGTATTAAAGTTGTTAGATGTGAGCATTCTGTAACTGTTTTATAAACCTTACAGACAGATCACAGAGTCACCTGGCTCTACGTAGCTACTTCTTTTTAAGAAAAGATTCCTCAACACTCCTGCTTTAAGAAAACGGTAAGGACTGCAAGGCAAGCATTTAAGAGAAAATATGTTGATACAAAGTCAGGAATGCCTGAGTGTTCTTCCCCAAATGCATCGGCTTAATTCAGCCATTAATGAAACACACATTCCCATTTCTGAACTGTTTTTCTCCTCAGTTGTGTGCAAATGGAGATGCACTGAAAGTTCTCCATAAATGGACCCGATCAGCACCGAGTCCAACCACCACTGACAGTTACTGCAGAATGAAAAAGAGCATTTCTCTATGAAATACGAAGTCTGAAATTAACACTTCTCAGCATGAAACCAATTATATTTTTTTTCTAGACTTTTAAAAAGATCCACCCACATCTTACTAGCATCACCAAGAACTCGCTGGCAGCTAAAAAGGTTCAATTTGGCTTTTATAAAACACACACACGACTGAAGAACAGATGTACTCTGACTTTTCCTAAAGAAAACAGAAGGCACAAAACAAAATAATATGAAGCCGTTACCACACCGATTTTAGCATGTTCCAATTTCACACTAGAAGAGGTGAGAATACATCATACTACAGTACTGCCCATTTAAAAATATTCAATTAATCACCTTTGTGATAAATGTTGGATAAAAACTGGATTGAAGGGTGACCTCACTGTGCTTCCTCACAAGGGGGTTGGAGGGGTGGCCCTACTCTCCTCTCTCTGGTGTCCACCAACAGAACCTAAGGGAACACACAGCTGCACTGCGGGAGGGTGAGGCTGGCTGTCAGGAAAAGGTTCTTCACCAGGGCATAGTCAGGCTCTGGAATGAGCAGTGGGCACAGCACCAAGCTGCTGCAGTACAAGAAGCACGTGGACCAGTCTCAGACGTGTGGTCTGATTTTTGGGTGGTCCTGTGTGGAGCCAGGGCTTGGACTTGATGATCCTTACGGGTCCTTTCCAACTCAGGATATCCTATGATTCTTTTTTAATCTATTACTTAGGTTCATGTTGAAACTCTTGGAGTTGGGCAAGGTTTCATTTACTGCTGCAATCAGAATAAATAAATAAATTGGGAACATTTACCATGGAATGAATTGTTGCATTTAGATAAGGATTCCTTTCATTCTTGGATTTCTGCTGCAGGAAAAGAAAATGCCTTTGTAATCCAGCCACAGAAATTTTACAGAAACACAAAATAGTTATAGCTGAGAAGGAAATGGTCTGTGTGACAACAGAACTACGGCCAGAATAACTTCAACTTCTGTGTGACAACAGAACTACGGCCAGAGTAACTTCCTTTGGTCACCTTTGCAATAAGCAGTGGCCGAGATGAGGCACCGTGCTCGAGGAACCACTTGTTTGTGTCAGGTGGCAGTTCCCATAATCATGTTGTGTGACTGCTTAATGCTGCCCAACGACAAACAATCCACTCCTGAGAAACGCTGTGCAGTCTTAAAAAAAGTGGCTCATCTGTCAACAGCAAAGGCCTCAGAACAGCCTGAGGAGAGGGAAAACTGGAGAACAGCACTTGTTGCAGGTTGGTGGCTGGTTCATTTGGGTTTTAGCACACTACAGCGGACTGCTGGTATTCAAATCAGCGTAAAACATCCAGTGGTTCTTGAGCTAAATGTCACATCTCTAGTGCATATTAAGCCTTGTTTACACAAGGAACACCATTCTTATGAGGAGATCTTTTCTACCATTCCTTAAAACCTGTAAAGTGCAAAGAGCCTACATGGTGCACCCCAAAGTCAGTAAGGTCACCTTCAGTCTTCTCCGGGGTGTTGCAGAAAGTGGGACTGCTGTGACTGCCCTGCTTGGTCACCTCACATCATGGACAACATTCTTTTCTGCAACAGTGTTTGGAAACCCTTACACACAGATCTCGTGCCTCCTATCAGACGATCAGAGGTAAAGCTACAATAACCATTATCCAGTTCCCTCAAAATCAGGAGCCTGTAGTACATCAAAAGGCCTGAAAAGCAGGGATTAGAAAATGGATCAGAAGATTCAATATCAACTTTTAAAGGACGTAGTTACCACACAGCAAGAAACTATTCTTTAGGGGAAATGGTTTCAAAATAAAAGAGGAGAGATTTAGATTGGATATAAGAGAAAGTTGGTTTTTCTACACTAAGGGCACAGGTTGCCCAGAGAGGTGGTGGTGCCCCAGCCCTGCAAACACCAGGTCAGTCTGGGGGGCTCTGAGCACCTGATGTGCTGTGGGGGTCCCTGTGCATTGCAGGAGGCTGGACTGGACCTTTATTGGTGCCTTCCAACTCAAACAATTCTGTAATTTACATTGGAGGGAATTTCGGTGCAAGCAAGGTGGCGTATTTGTGTTGCAGAACACCTCGTCCTTGAAAAGGAAATACTCAGCAGCCCATGGGAGCAAGTAGAAATGAACACACATCTTAAAAACCTGAGCTGTGTACTTCCCACAATTGCAGAGCTCTGTCAAACTTGATATGTTCTCTCTGAAGCAAAACTTGTGAATTTCACATTATCCCACGTGACAAAATGTCCATTATAATGGACCCCCAGTGAGAAGATGTGGTCTGCGACAGATTCAAGGGAGAGCTGTGTATTTAGTCATGCAAAGCCTGTTTATAATATTTGTGACAGGTTTCTGGCAACCGGGAGCTGGAGACCACAGGGAGATAGCACCAGTGAGATTCACCACTTCTACAGTCTGCTTATTTCTGCAGCAACAACACAGATTGCATGACATGGCAGTTGTCTTGTGACATGGCATCTCAACAAGGTCTTTGCCACCAGTGGCCTCTGCAGTTCCAGTTTGAGTGATACTGAAATGACACAGAATTTCTGGTGTCCCTGTGAGCTACTTGAACAAAACTGTTCAGAGATTCTGTAATGGCCACGCATACTGTGACATCAGTGCTGTTATCTGGCCAACAGCATTGCTGCCTGTGCCGTTTCAGCACAATACCTGCGCATCATTCTGGTTGATGATATTAACTGCTATCATCATATAAAAAAAAAATCATACAAACAGATTCCACAGCCTGTTCTTCAAAGCCTCAAAGGATACCTGTGGATTGGGATTGTCCTAAGCACAAGAATTTCATCAAAGCACATCAGTCTTGCATGGCACTGAGGAAAGGGATATCCTTCTGGGAAGGCATGTGCTTAAGGAACAAGTCCAAGCAGCCAGATGTGCTGGACCAAATCACTTGTGAACTGAAAACCCAACAGAGTGCTGTAGATGCCCACCTGTGTTCAGAAATAGCTGACTGGATAGCTGCTTGGTTTTTCAGCAAGTTGTATTTGCTTAAGAGGAAACTTTGGGAGGACTACTCCAATGTGGGCTCTTGCAGGGAGAGATGAGTAGTCATAGGGCGAGTTGTAGCAATGCAATTCACAATGCAATTAGTTCTGTATGCACAGAATATCTACAGCATGACCTCAATTATGTGTACTAGGAGATGTGCACCCAAAGGAATGTGCAGTCAGGTTTTTAAATGCATACATTACCAATTTTGTACACTGTCTATGCCAGGTGTAGTCGTCAAAGCACTACAGCTCTTGTCCATGTTTTTCCCCTCTTTCATTAGTTTCTAAAGCAGTCTTTTAGCTAGCTTTTAATGGTTATTTCAAGGGTACAAAGCAATACAAGCCTGCTAGTCAGTACGCAGGGTACTAGAATGATACCAGTCCCAGGTGAGGGGCATTCTGCACTGACTCATTCCCCACAGAATTTGTCAGTTCTTATTTAATTGCTTCTGTATTAAGTATCTGTGCATTCAATTACTCCAACTCATTTTCTTATTCATTGTTTATTATATCCCTAGATATTATAGATATTGTATCCCTAGATATCCTAGAATATCCCAAGTTGGAAGGGACCCATAAGAATCAGTGAGTCCAACTACTGGCTCCACACAACTTCAACACTCAAAATAGGCTGCAATATCTTCCATCTTTCATTCTTACCTCATCCAAAAACATTCAACGTGTCCTTCCTAACTGTATATACACACCATGTCTGGCACAAAGGGCATCCAGACACCTCCCTGTTAGCTCACTCATCACCTATTTGACACACTTAACACACCCAAAAGTAAAGGATATCTTGAATTTTTAAACTGATTCTTAAAATCTGGAATGTCTACATGGGACTCTCCCTCTATGCTTTTATTCTTTAAGCATAAGACTTCTTAAGAGGCACAGCAAAAGCTAATGTTTAACTTTACACATACCCACTTACATGTTCTATTTAAAAATATATATATTTAGCAGTGCAGCATTTTCTGTTGGTTTGTCATAACCTGCTAGCATTTTTATCAGCCAATTCCTACTTGCTGTCATCACTGAATACTGATGTTCAAAGTGGATACCACCTTCCAGGACAGGCTTCTCTGCTGCAGGGAATGGAGTAATCTCAGCATCAAACCAATTCCTTCTAGGTGAGGTGTTTAATGATATCTTCACCGTTAGTAAACAGCCCTACTGAAGCACAATCTACAGCAGAATCAATTGACACAATCTGAAATTGTTATTTTGTCTCCAAGAGTGTAAGAGAGATGTTAGGCTACCCAGCATCAAAACCAACCAGACAAAAACATGCCACGTGATAAACCAACTGATCAGCACCAAAATACTAACAGGTGACTGGCAAGAAACTGGCTGGACCACATAGCAAACCTTCCAAGAAGTTACATTTTTATCCATTTCTAAAGGCCATATTCTGTTTTTCTTAGGCTGAGGAATTATGTTGGACAAAAAGAAGTAATAGCATCTATCAAACTCTGCAGCACTGTTGTCTTAAACTAGATTTGCAGAAACACAGAAGAAATGCTGTTCCTCTGTATGAAATAATACTTCTAGTGTTACTCTAAATGAAAAGACTGAATAATATGTGGTACCTTCCACACATACAATAAAATTGGCAGTTTCACAGGGAGAGAACATGAAACAGATGGGAAAAATAAGCCATTATTAATGCTAACAAAGGAGAAACGTTCTTTATACACAAGAAACTGAACAACTTACCAGCACTGTTCTTCCTTGGGAAATAAAGAAATGGCCAGAAACAACAATGGTAAGGATAAGATGACCAGTCTCCTCGTTTGATTCAAAAACCTTTAGAAAGATTCACAAAGTAAAGACACAGCCTTTCGAGTGCAGAACAAGACTCTCCCAAGTGCAAAAGGAAAGGGTGCCAGCAGTCAGGGACAGGTGAGAGACCTGGGACTGCTGAGTTCGGAGGAGGCTGGAGGGGGGTCTGATCAATGCTTAGCCATACATACAGGGTGGCAGCCAAGTGGACGGGGCCAGGCTTTGTGGTGGTGTGCAATGGCAGGACGAGGGGCAGCGGGCACTGACTGGAAGCTTCATGTGAACATAAAATTCTTAGTGGGTGACACAGGCTGCCCACACAGCTGGATCTCCTTCCCTGGAGGTGTCCAAAACCCACCCGGACCCCCGTGTAACACACTGCAGGGAACCCGCTTTAGCAGGGGTTGGACTGGGTGATGTGCCTCAGGCTCGCAGCAGGTGCCCGCAATCCCCCTGCTGTCGCTGTTTTACGCCCAGCTGCCCTCAGGACCCCTCAGGACCAGCAGCACGGACACCGCGCACGCTCCACGCCGTCACCTTCCAGGAGTGGCCGCCTCCCTCCCCGTCCTCGCTGTCCGTCGGGGACAGGAAGCGGCCGTAGCGCTTCAGGGGCCAGGTGGTGGCGCTGGCGAGCAGGGAGGTGCCGCCCGCGCCGCTCGGCCGCTCGGGCGTTCCGCGGGAGGCTTGGTCCGCCTGGGAGCGGCCGCGCGAACGACCCCTGCGCGTAGCCATGTTGCGTGAGGGAGAGCAGGAGGCGGGCGGGGAGTCAGGCGCTGGGCGGGAAGCAGGAGCCAATAGGAGGGAAGAAGGAGCGCGCCAGTGGTTCTCTTCACCAATCAGCGCGCAGCGCAGAATCGAGAGCCAATCCGGCAGCGTGCCCGGGCTCGTGCAGGTCTCTGCAAAGCGGGGGGACTCGAGGCGTGGTGCTGCTGTTCCTCAGCGCCGTGTCCCCGTCCTGTGGGGTTTGGTGCCTCCTTTTGAGAGCGCTAGTTTTCTGGGTGCAGGCTGCTGCCTATCGCCCTGTCTCCTAATAGCTAATTACACACCAGATTGCAGTCATATCCATGCATATATGGTGCAGTGGAGCTCTCTGGTTGTGCCGAGGGAGAGAAGCGCAGCCTGAGGGGTGTGTGCAGCTGCCATTTTGTGGGCTGAGGGACTGCTGGGGCTGCGTGGTGTGGAACTGCCTGCAGCCCACTGAGCTCAGTGCAACGTGTGGAAGCCAACCGCAATATCAACACCCATCTTCCTTCCAGGTGAAGTCTGTTCTCAACTCATCATAATGGTTTTCCTAAGTTTTAGGGTGCCTTTTTCAGTCCTTGGTTCAGCAAGGTGTTGAGTTTGGCTTGCAGTGCTTCTGTGGTACTGAGGATCTGTGCTAAATGTCACAGCAGCTCGTCTTTTTCAGTTGCCCTGGTGTGGAGCCCCCAGTACAAGAAAGACAGAAAGCTGGTGGGGAGGGTCCAGAGGAGAGCCACAAAGATGACTGGGGGACTGGAGCACCTCCCCTACGAAGACAGGCTGGGGGAGCTGGGCTTGTTCAGCCTGGAGAAAAGAAGGCTGCGGGGTGACCTCACTGCAGCCTTCAGTACCTAAAGGGAGCCTACGAACAGGAGGGGAATCAACTCTTTGAAATGGTAGATAACAGCAGGACAAGGGGAAATGGTCTGAAGTTGAGGGAGGGGAGATTGAGGTCAGATGTCAGGGGCAGTTCTTTACTATGAGAGGGGGAGATGCTGGAACAGCTGCCCAGAGAGGTTGTGGATGCCCCATCCATCCCTGCAGGTGTTCAAGGCTGGGTTGGATGGGGCCCTGGGCTGCTATGAAATGTGGAGGTTGGTGGCCCTGCATGTGGCAGGGGGTTGGAGATTTGTGATCCTCAAGGTCCCTTCCAACCCTGGCCGTTCTGATTCTGTGTTTATCCAGCTGGCTGGGCGTGCTGCAGCTGTGCCTCTTTCCCACTTTGCTGCCTGTTACAGGTTGCTCCTCAGCTACCTGATGTTACATTTTACTGAGGGGAATGACTGTGGTGCAGTGATTCATGGCAAGGCTGCACTTATGTATTCCATTTATAGCTCACATCTTGGTTCATTAACAGTGAAAATAAATGCTGTTTATGCAAGGCAGGGTCACTGTGGAGCATGAAGGAGCCTGGAAGCTGTCTGTGGGAGTCCATGCTGACCTGTATTGATGTGGGGATGCCACTTCACCACTGTTAAACTATATTTGCATGTTTGAGGGTGCTAAGCTAATAGCATTAATCCCAGGTCTGAGCATTGCCTGCTGCCAGCACCATGTACTCAACCAAGATGAGGTTAGGCTAACTAGTTGTCCTTCAGCTACATTAAATGGAACACAAGAAATAAAGGTGTATTATTTTGTTGTTTATGTGGGATATGTTTTATATTTATTTTTTCTTTCTGTGGTTTGCCATCGTGTTGCTGGTTTGGCTGATGTGAATAAGGTGAAAATAGCATGAGTAACTGCTGCCTCATCTGAAACAAAACCTCTGGTGACAGGAGTGACCTGTTGGTCACACTGAGATGCTTCTGTCTGTTAGAAAATACAGATTGGCAGTTCTGTCATCCAGCAGTTCTGGGTTTTGCCTGAGGTCACAACCCAGAAGCCAGGTTACCATTTGAGGCACCTTTCGTAGTAAATGATGTCGCTGCATTTTCAAAAGGGAGAAACACTCATCAGAATGTTTTGCAGGTAGGGAAACGCAGGCGTTCCAGGACTTGACAGGGTCACCGAGAAAGCTCAGCCATGGAGCAGGGAACACAGCATGGACCTCCTGGTTGCTTTCTCCAATCACTGCTTCTCTGAGAGGATTTCTCAGATTGTGCTTATCAAATGTGCTGAGCTGGCTTGTAAACTTGGGACTTCCTTGGAAACTACAGGAGAAGGAATAGAAATGTCAGAGAAAGGTAGCATGCATGCATTCAATCAGTAGTGCTCCTATTCAGCAGAAGCTGCAAACAAGCCATTTTCTACAACAGTTTCTAGTGCCTCGTTTTCTAGGAGTGATTCGTGGCAGATCTACTAACAGATTCTGTAGGAGGAAAAGAAGAGTTCAGCCTTCTATCGAAGCTGAGTTACTGAACTAAAGTAGTACATCAACAGCAACCATTCATACTGTCCTTGTAGAATGGCCATTCCTTATAATTTGGAGGAGGGAGAAATGGCTGAAGGATGAAAAAGCATTTAGGCAGTTAAGGGTGGGACACTTGCAGATAATTTGGTCTTTCAAAGCAGTGGAATTCCTTTAAGAGGTGAGGCTTAGAACTCCTTCTGTCTCTTGCCAAAGAGCTGTGGTGCTTTTCCCTGGTGTCTTTATCACACGGTAGTGGCTGGGTTTTGTGAACTGTTGGGTTGGTATGGCTATGCCTGGTGTGTTATCTTTCAAATAGTTTGCAATATACTCACTGATTGCAGCTGGAAGAAGCAGCTAGCGGCTCATCTTTTCTACATGAGACAAACAAACAAAAAAATCTAAATAGATTTAACTTGTTGCATTTAAAAAACTCTAAGATCTAAAGTGAAAGGGAGCCTGCTAGCATAGCTGATGTAGTTTCATGAGGGTGGATTGCTAAGGATCTCTCTGTTAAGTCTGTTATTTTTCTCCCCTTGGTCCCACAGCTTCTTTTGTTGTTTCAGGTGCACCCATCTTTCCTCAGCGTATTATTTCAAGCAATTTCTTTCAGTTTTGCTTTTCTCCCTCTGACTTTGTATTGCCATCCTTATGGTCGGAATTCAGAATTTATTCCTTCTGCAACTATTGCCAGTAGATTTTAGCGGCCTAGCTGCTTCATTACTATGTACATACACACCTGTATCGTATGTAGGTAGATGTAAAATGGAGAGGAGGATAAGGATGTTACTGCCAAGAGTCTCGTATTCACCAAGAAAGCTTTCCTGCTGCCTGGTGTTCTTTTGATTGCTCTTCATACTACTGCCAAAACAGCTGTGTCTGTTCAACTCAGAAGTAAGCCCTTGTATTGTAATTTTCTCCCTTTTAAAGTGTATTTTTTTAAATTCATGTATCTAATTTCATTTTGCAACTTGTTCTTTGTGTGGCCTTAGGCCACGTGAACACGACAAACATGCAGGGTGCAGGGACTTGACCTTGCTGACCACGTAAAGCTCTTAGCTCTAGAGAGCAGAGACAGAGGGATGCGTGCAGGAAGAGTGTTGTGCCTGCTCAGTACAGTTTTGTGATAGTAATGACGGGCATAACAGCAATAATAAAAATGTATTGCCATCGCTTTATTATTAAGTTTATGTATGCCTGCCAAAAGTGCAGGCTTCCACAAGTTGAACAAGTGATTTATTGACAAACCAGAGACTACAAGATGCATAAAAGAGATTAAATGCCCCTTTTATTGCTTATTTTAGAAAATCTGGAGGTTTCCCTGTGATACTGTCAGCTCATCATCCATCCTCTTCTATCCAGCTCCATCCTCTTCTATCCAGCTGTGCTAAAGGGATAAGTGGGATTACTCACAGTGGCGTAAATAACAGGCTAGTAAAAATGTTCCGTTCAAAGTATTTGATCTATTACTTTGATTTTTATACTCAGCTGTGTTAGCTGATGCTTAAGTTGCATTGTTAGTAGCTGTGTGACTTCCTCAGTAACTGACAGATTCATTTCCATTAATCAACGTCTCGCATGGTTAATTGGTCCTACTTTGATCTGAATGGAAGCTGACAGTCAGCAGCCTTGCTGCCCGGGCTTCTCAGTGCTAATGAAATTACAGCATCTCAGTATTTGATTATTACATGGCAGTTCTGTTCCCATCACAAAAATATCTTCGTGCAGGTCTGTCAACGCATGTCAGCATTGAGGGAGGTGAATTTGGTTTGAAGCCAGAGTGATGCTGTAGCTCTGGTGTTGATGGCCTCTGCTGTCCCAGGCGGCGTCAGAAGCTCCTTTACTTCTGGGCCCTCTTCCTCCAGCTGCTGAATTGCAGGCACTGAATTTTGCTCTTTTATTTTTATTTTTATTTTTTTAAATTCTATTACATTTTTTTCCTTGCAAAACCCCTTGCAATAAGGTTTTGATTTTTTAAGTGAAGAAGTAGAACCAAATTGGTGCATCTCTGCCTGTACTTTATTGTTGTAAGGCAGGAGTGAAGCCTGGCTTGTGTTTGGCATGAAGTTCAAATGTTATTTTGCAGATACGTTTCATAGTTGCTCTTTTCAATGGCCTTATCAAGGTTGAAGATGAAGAATCCACCCTTGAAGCAGCACTGAAATTAAGTGGTCCTTCAGGATCTTCCAGAATTTCAACAGTTAATGCTTCTTGATCTCCAAAGTCAGAATGTTTCCCCAGTTAAGTTTTCATTTCTTCTTTTCCAGTGGTTTCAGTTGGTGTGCATCTCCAGGAACAGTTTCCACAAGTTTGTGTGGTGTTGCAGTTTCACTGTCAGTGGCATCCCTAACTCTCTGTCATAATGATGCTGTCGTTTTGCTCCCTATCACGTTGAGTATTTCCCTTGAGGAGCTTTGAGGTTTACAAGGGAGCTGTGGGATCTCATCCAGCAGGATATGGCACAGATGAAGGTGTTTTTTGCCTCACAGATTTTCTGCTTACATTAAAAAATAATAATAAATAATCACAGTCAGTGCAGCCGTCTTGCTGAGTGCCTTTCATTTTCTGTGACCTTGAAAGCATGAGGGCATTGATTAATTAATCCAAATTTCCAGATGGGTGGAGGGGAGAATTGCAGATT